ATTGTAAACCTTCCCTTGTGAGAATTTGATGTGGAACTTATTACCTCGGTGTGCCTCTTTGTGGAGGGAGGGTTTTATCTTTTGACCAATTATGTAACTTTTATGGCATTTCCTACTTTGAAGTCATCCCATCTCTGTGCCTGTTTCCTCACACAATGGTGTTAGACTGGCTTTAGGAGGCTTTTCTAAAGCGGTTTATTCCTAACTTATATAATGGCTCTTAAAGTATTAAAATTCCATTTTAGTGGATTATATTTCTATCGATAATGACTTGGATGGTGCACCATCTTTTGTGTGATTTGTGATAGGCTGCATGTAATGTATGATAATCTATTTATTTATTAGTATGATAATGACTGTTTAAGTATTGTCCAAATAACAACCACCATCTGTCCCTTTAAAGTTCAATACAGTTAACAGCTGTTTCCACAAGCGTTGAAGAAAAAGCGCTTGATTTCAAGCCGGGGCCCCTGATTTATTAAAATTGATTTTCTTATCTTATCACTGCGTTAAACAGCTCAAATGATAAAGTTAAAAACTCTTAATCTCCTGGAACAAATGTCTCTTGATTGTGAGAGTATTCTAATCAGCCATGTTCTTGCATAAGTCAAGTGAATAATTTCACTATCAAGGTGTGAGATTGAAACCACACCTCATACTAACGAGTCTTTGTTCCCAGGTAAATAACATTGATTGCTAATCACAACCTGTCACTGAAACGTAATTGTTTCTCCTTTGTCACTCCAGGTAATCTCAGGTAGGCGTACCTGTAGACTTGACTTACATTCACTACAGAAACACGTGATCGGATTTCTGTATTGCTGGGGAGGGAGATTAGGATTTGTAGTCATTTCCTCTGTCCAGCTTAATTACATTTTTTGAAACCTTCAGGAAAGGGGCTTGAGGTGGAATCTGGTTGTTCAGTATGTTCAGCAATTAGCAAGCAATATTCTAATGTGTCGTGGAAAATGTACACAAGCTGGTTTGAGAAGGGGAACGGCAATTTACACCTCCCTGACGTGTAACCACCGCAACAATTTCCTACTTAGTTGTCATTATATACCATTGAAAAGGTTAGCAAGTAATTGGCAGCCTTGGTGGACTTCGTTGTATGTGGTCTCAGTGGCGATTTATGGAATGTATCACGCTTGTAGAGTCTTTGTAAGAATGATGTTAGTTTGGGTTATGGCAGGCAAATTTTAGGTTTGGTCTTTCACAGTTGTAGCTGTCAGTGAACTTCAGGTGGTCCGATTGCCAGACTGGGTTAATCTGAGTCAGCTTAGGAGGGATATACTGCAGTAATTGGTTGATAGTTCTCCCTGTTAATCTGACGATATCTTGAATTGTTACTGAAAAACAATGTTTTCATGATACTTTCTTTGTATACTCCCGTGCTCTCACTGACTCCTACACCCTTTCCCTCCCTCTGAAGTAATATGAGGATAGAAACAGATGTCCTTAACTTCTTTGGAGTGGTATACCATTGAGAAAAGAACCCAGAAAATCTTTACATGTTTAGATACGGAAAACTTGACTTGCATGGGATTTTGTTATAGTTTAGTTGTAGGTATGTAGAAGATGGTCAGTACTGATTCAATACATTCTGTCCTGACTATGTTTCTAGGTTTCTCACTCACTCACTAACTTGCTAACTCACTCACTCATACCAGTGAAGGTCCAGGTTAGAATAGTGATCTTCAGTAACCCATGCTTGTTTAAGAGGCGACTAATGGGATCGGTGGTCAGGCTCGCTGACTTGGTTGACACATGTCATCGGTTCCCAATTGTGCAGATCGATGCTCATGCTGTTGATCACTGGATTGTCTGGTCCAGACTCTATTATTTACAGACCGCCGCCATATAGCTGGAATATTGCTGAGTGTGGCATAAAACTCACTCACTCACTCACTCACTCACTCACTCACTCACTCACTCACTCACTCACTCACTCACTAATGGAAGTATCATTATTAAAAGAACATGTTGAATACTGGGAGCAATAAGTTCTGTTCATACACACAACTGCTACTAAAACACAGATGACTCTGTAAAGTCAAATGTCAGTCGACTTGAAACAAGATGGAACACATGATTGAATATTAAATATGTTTGTATAGTTTCCAAGACAGATGAAAGTTGACCTGGATGTTTCTATAAACTACTATGACAAATGTGAATGCCTCGCTACCAGCAGTTAAGCGTGAGTGAGACTCGTCATTGTGCTGTTTTCAGGTCTTTCATTCACCCAGCCTCCCAATTTGGAATACGTATACAAACTGGAACAAACCTAAGTTCAGATAGTGCTTTGCGTTTGTGATTTATAGGACAGACTTTCTGTCTGTGGCCACTGGCTGTGCGCTGGCACGGTAGCGAACAAAACCACGATCTCGCACATAAACTGTTACCCTTCAGGATTCTATTGTGGCCATTGCACAATGAATGCACAGAGTGAAAGCAGCAAGGTATGGACGGCTTAAGCCACGCTTGACTACCTTCTTGCACGAGCCAAACGTAAAACACAATCTCGAGACACAAACCGCGCTGTATATTACGTAAACTCTGGGTCGTGGCCTGTCATACCGCCAGCCGATATATATTTGATCAACACACACATCTCCTCACTACCTGCCCTACATGTATAGAACGGAGAGAAAAGAAAGGAAGAAATATGCCGGCAATTTTGAGTTGTGTTCACAAAACCAGTAGTACTCGACTCAATTCAAATTGTCGTACTGTGTTTAGAGATAGGCATACTGGATGAAGTGACGCCCTGTCGGTAATTGGTGAGATTGAAAACCTTGTCATGAGAGCGTCTCCAATACTATGCGGCCATGCTTGTTGTGCGGGGAAGGTTTGTGTACCCATCGTTACGTTTAGACGTTGACATGACATGTTTATTATTGTCACTCAGTGAATAACTGCCGTACCAGCCTCTGTGTTAAATAAGCATGTTGAACTATCAGCTCGTATCAGTTACACATGCGTATATTCCCGCTTCACAGTTATTTTCACTATCGGCTGTTAAGAAGAGGCTTTGATTGTTCGTGAGAGAGATAATGCGCCACAGGATCTTGTTCTAAACTTATGACTGTCTTTTGTTATAGCTCGGTGATAATAAAAGCTTACTGAGTTTCACGCACAGACACTTTCAGCTGTAGACTGTGACTCGACCCCGGTGTCATCCTGCTTCTAAGACAGCGGGATATGGAGGCGGAATAAAAATCATTCCCCACTCTCTGACTACAAATATTGTTCAAATCTTAGGGTTTATGTTAAGAGATGAGTTACGAGTGTTTTTTGTGAGAGGCTTTTGTTAGCGTGTCATTCAGGTTAATGGTGATAGGTATTGATGCGTTTTACTGTTCCAATGAGGTGTTTGGATCAATGGTAAGATTCTTGTGAAATATATTAATGTGTTTTCAAATTGGTAATTATAGTTTAGGTTGTTTTTTTTCCAAAATATATTAGTTTTTATTGAAGTATCCAGGTGTGATTTCAAACTGAAGCTTTATGGGTCAGAATAGGGTAGTATCATTTCAGTTGTTCTTACAGAGTTATTTATTTGAATAGTGTTTGTTTGTAAGCGTAATTTATCATTCTAATCCATCTTATGTCAAATTCACCCAAAAACAAATGTTTTAGAACTGTGCATATTATTGTATGTTCATTGGCTTTGAGATATATGCCTCGGATAAATTAGCATAAATAATCCTGTGAAGCAACAATTAATCATCTTAATCACATCAGATGTTTTATTCATGTAATTAGTGAGTCAGCGATGAATAAAAGTCTTGGAGTTGGATGGTTTTGGTTTGGTTTGGTGTGAACAAGAGCACATACTGCAATGGAGTTATTCCCCAGGTTGAAATATTGATTTCCTTTGTCTCAGACTCCTGTGCCAATGTTGGCGCTTCTATTACCACAACACTGAATATCTGCTTTTGAATTATTCCATTCTGTGATTACCTTTTCCCTAAATGTTTTATGAACCAGTACTGATTTCATTATGTAATATCGTGAAAATAGAGTTGAAAATTTGGGAGGGACAAAATATCCCTGTCTACTTTGTTGTGTTTAGACTGCAGTTGGATGTATGTATATTGAAAAGCTAAAACAGTGTTTCATTGAATATTTGTCAAAGATACACCTTCAGGTCATGTTATTGTGTTTTTTCTTCTTTTAATCCACAAATAGTTTGGACCAGAGGCTATTTTGTTGATCTGCTCGAACAAATGATTCATCTTCATCACTTCGGGCTATAAGTTTAGTATCTTTTTAAATCCTAATCAGCATGTTTGATCTTTGAACAATGTTTAATTGGATTATATCCGGTGTCACCAGATGACAATAAGACATCAGCATGTATGACCCTGTTGTCTTGTTTCAAAGTCTGGAGACGGTCCATGCAACATTATACGTGCCTCGGGGCCCAGACTTAGCAGGTTGAGATGGTAGCCACTTATTGTCCTGGCTGTAATCGTTATGGATAACTGTGTCAATGAGCACTTGTCTTACTCGTTACAGGTAAATTCAGGTAGATACAGTTTCGCTATCTTTCTCTCCTGGGGATGAAGTATTACATGTTTGAATGGAATTTTCTAGCCTGATCAGATTTCATATTAACATCCATCATTTTAAACCCTGGATCTAGATTTGAATACATTTTTACCTTCTGGAAGTATTAATTTTGAATTATGATTTTTTCACAAGTATGAATTTTAATATAAATGATGGCTGATGCTCTGATTCCTTAAGGCATTCTCTAGTTAAAAAACTTGCATTAGTGTAATTTTAAAATTTAACATTTCACTTGAGACATTTTTGAGTTGCATCGGACATAGGCTGATAGTAATATTTGATGTGTCTGTAATAGTTTCTAAAGTTTACCATGTTGAGTTATAAAAAGCTGAGCTGCTTTAAAAACTAAAATTCCACAGATGCGCCCAAAGAGAACGGTGAATGAAGATTGCACAAGCTGAAATGAAATTTGAATTCCTTACCGGTTCAGTGCTTGCTTGAAGCACACCCAGGATGAGGAGGTGAAGTAGAATGTATCCCAACATGATGGAGCTGTGATCTAGATGTACATTGAGTCACTGTAGGTTTGACCAGTGTGTATCAGTGTAGACACTTAGTCCATATGACTGAGAGTTGAGCGGCACGTGGGTGACACCACACGGTCACTGAAGCAGAACTGTTGATGAGGCCACTCGCCAATCACTCCCGGTTGTCACACCCCCTTCCTAGCCACAGCCAGTCTTTGTCCAAAGGCCCCGGGGGTACTGATAAGGTCCTGCTTCTTGAATCAATGTCGGGACAGTGTGATAGTCGGTGTATCGCCAAGATTAGCCGCTCGAGAGGGCTGCGAGACAGGTAGATGGGAGGTCAGGGCTGCAGTCTGCTTGGTGGATGATAAGGGTGGTTGTAGGACTCTGTGTGCCCAATATGTTGGCCAAGTTTTCTGGCAGCTTTCAGAAGAGGATCACGTCTGCAAGTTCACGTCTACTGACTGCAAGTGCACATGGTGGTGCACTGGGATGCAACCCGAGTTTGTGCAGTGTCTGCACACACACTAGCCCACAGCCTCGTGAATGAGACCTCTCGTTATGCAAACTTCAGACTCAAAGCTTTTGGTCAGGTCAGCCAATAGGGTGATAGCATTGTAAAAGGGGCGGAGTTTCATGGGTTGGGGACTGTGTGCTTTGGGAGCAGAACCGTGCCAGTATCGTAGTCGACAATAAAAACGCTAGCCACCCAAAGTTGGCGTGTGCCAACCAAACTCGAATAGAGGTTATCTCCTACAGATGGGTCTGAACACACGCTTAGCTTTTAACAGTGTCAATGCACAAACTACATTGACTGGCGTTCGCCTTGGCTGCTGTCCAACAAACGTTGGTCTTGGCTGTATCGTTTGTAGCAAAGTTATTGTGTCTAACTTACACATGGGACATTGTTCATAAAATGCTAATTAGGTCATTGAAAACCACTTTTGATGTCTGTGCAGGACTGGGCTTGTGTAAACTGACTTTGACAAACAAAATAATAGTTTCTAAAACATCAAAAAAAATCAAGCAGTTTGAAGTGATAATGTATGAATATTTATATGAATGGAGGTTACCATATGAAATGTTGAATGACTTTTGGTTGCATATTTGAAAAGTCACCCTTACTAGAAGCAGATTTCACATGTGCGTGTTACGAGAACAGGTAAAAAATGAAGGCGTCAGATTGTTAGTTTGCTGTCACAGACTGGCCTGTCGTCTTACTTAAATAAAGATTTGTTTTGGAGTGAAGTGATTGATATATAAACGTTTTCTGGTGTCTCTCTGGTAGATTCTCAGTTGTGTCAATGATATTTCAGGGATGATTCAGTGAGCAGAATAATCAACAACAGTTCATATAACAGATGGGTACCAAACTCACTCACTCACTCACTCACTCACTCACTCACTCACTCACTCACTCACTCATGTAACAGAGCCAAGGTTCACTTGTGTGTCATGAGTTTTGTATTGTTTTCTGTCGAAGTCAGTAATACACTTCTATATGACAGCAGTCTGTAGCTAAATGAGTCAGGCCCAGAAAAATTCAGTGTTTAATAATCCTTGCCATGAAGGCATGCAAGTCAACCAATTCACCAAGCCCAACACATCGAGTGGCAGGGTGGATAGGTGAGTGAGTGGGTGGGTGATTGGGTGAGTGAGTGGGTGGGTGGGTGATTGAGTGAGTGAGTGAGTGGGTGGGTGATTGGGTGAGTGAGTGGGTGGGTGAGGTGGTGGGTGGGTGAGTGAGTGGGTGGGTGGGTGAGTGAGTGAGTGGATGGGTGATTGGGTATGTGGGTGGGTACACCATAGAGTCAGCGCTTGAATAGTTGAGTTGAGGTGGTGGGTAAGTGGATGAGTGAGCAAATTAGTTTGGAAGTATGATGTTGTTGAGAACAGGTTGGCTTCCATCATAAGACATCCAACATGAGTGAGTGAGTGTGTGTAAATGAATGCTTGATTCAGTAGTTGAGTGAGTGAGTTTGGGCCACATTCAGCAATGGTCAAGCTATGTCATCCAACTTGTGTATGAAATGAGTGGTTGATAGCATGACCACTGGTAGAGTATAATGCACCAGCAGGGGCAGTGGGGTAGCCTAGTGGTTAAAGCGTTCGCTCGTCTCGCCGAAGACTGGGTTCGATTCCCCATGTCTACAATATGTGAAGCCCATTTCTGGTGTCCCCCGCCATGATATAGCTTGAATATTGCTAAAAGCAACTCACTCACTAATGCACCAGCATCGATGTCATGTCTTGTGCATGTCGCACAGTCCCCAAATGCTTCTGAGCCCTGAAGTGAAGTAATGGATAGACAAAGTGTTCAGATGTCCCTCTGGTAAGTTCGCAGTTGTATCAATGATATTTCAGGGATGATGCAGTGATCAGTCTCCAAATTATATTATTTTCCTTGCTGCTGAGCCCTTACTGTAATGCTATAGTCCCAACAGAAGCAAGTTTAGATTTTCCATATGTTCCATTCCTATTTCAATTAGAATGTCATTGCTGTTTTCTATGAAAATCATATATTTCCAGACACTCAGCATTAGTCTTGTCTGGTAGGGATTATTTTTATCCCTGTTGTCAGTGAGGGTTGCTCCAGTAATAGACTCTGCACCTGTCGAGTTTGGTGTTTGTTTCATAAAAGATAGCTTCGATAGCAAGACTATACTTGTTGGGGGCTAAAGTGCGACACTGATGTTCTCCAAGCACAATCCAGCTTTGATGGATGGGGATGTTTTGGACGAAATAATAACTTTTGTCGGGAAGGAATTTGAAATGTTCGTGTTTTATCTCAGGGAAGATATATTTTGAGATACAAGAAGGTGTTATTGACTCATTAACACATATTCCACAGTGATGTAGCATTCCAGTCAAGGGTTCTTATGTATCTATTTTCTTCTCAACATGCCATTTTACTCTTAATTATCAATGTGAGAACTCTTCCTTATCTCTTTTCCTCCTGCTTTGAAAGTATTTCATTTTCAAATTTGGATTCCGGGATGGAACATGTCTATAGTAACTGTTGGCATGGATAGTTTTACATACAATCTTTGCTGGTTCTATACCACTGACATACTGATGTCATGTTGATGACAGTAGTGGTAATAAGATGACCCCTGGCTGCATCAAGGTGGTGGAGTAGCCTAGTGGATCAAGTGTTCTCTCATCACTCTGAAGGCCCGGGTTTGATTTCCAACATTGGTTCAATGTGTTAAACCCATCTCTGGTGTCCACTGATGTGATATTGCTGGAATATTAAAAGCGGTGTAATACTCACTCACTCACTCACTCACTCACTCACTCACTCACTCACTCACTCACTCACCCTCCCACTCACTCACTCACTCACTCTCACCACCTCACTCACTCACTCACTCACCCACCCAAACAGTCACTCAAAGCCACCCACCTTCATCTAAACCCACTCACCCAAACTCACCCATTCACTCACTCATTCAAACCCACCCACTCTCACTCACACTCACTCACTCACTCACCCACCCAAACAGTCACTCAAAGCCACCCACCCTCATCTAAACCCACTCACCCAAACTCACCCATTCACTCACTCATTCAAACCCACCCACTCACTCACTCACACAAACCCACCCACTCACTCTCCCAAACTCACCCATTCACTCATTCAAACCCACCCACTCTCTCACTCACCCACACCCACCCACTCACTCACCCAAACTCACCCATTCACTCACTCACTCAAACCCACCCACTCTCTCACTCACCCAAACGCACTCACTCACTCACTACAATTGAGCTCCAGGTTTATACGGTTGTTAAATGTACACAGTAATCTTTATCTGACCGTGACCCAGCCCACCCTGTCTGCTCTGTGCGAGGCCCACACTGACCTGCAACAGTAACTAATGGAAACAATGCATTAGAAGTGACTGTGTAAACCGCCTGTCATTGACATGTTTTGTCAAATCTCCCATTAGCCTTTGTTTGGTGTCTGAAGTTGGGTGGGATAATGCAGATTATATTATGTATGAACAATTTCTTATTACAGTTTCTGATATCACAGCCAGTGGCCAGCATGACTGTCAAACAGCCACTTTATTTCCTGCTGGGAAATATCCTCATGTTTTGGGTTATCAGACGTTTAAGAAACATTTTTACTCACTGATCACACGAACAACTGTAAAACATCTCACTAACTTTTGAAAGACAAGTTTATGTTAAAGTCACCAACCCAGTAATTTACAGTGCCTGTGTGGTGCAAAACACCTTGTTAACAATATAGAACAAACTTTATGGATAACAACTTCTTTTTATTCGTGAGTGCGACGTTTCGATACAGATTCTTGTACCGTTGTCAAGCATGTACAAGAATCTGTATCAAACTCTCAAGACTCACAAATAAAAAGAAGTTGTTATCCATAAAGTTTGTTCTACAAGAATCTGTATCGAAATGTCGCACTCACGAATAAAAAGAAGTTGTTATCCATAAAGTTTGTTCTATATTGTACTTCCCAACTTCTAAAAATGCCACTCAAAGAAGTTACCTCGTTTACGTTATATAGTGCACGTGAACACTGCTTTCCAAAAACATATGATGTATAAATCCTGTCATCAGATGATACAGAATATTCCACTCTGAAACCTGAACCATTTTTTATTCCCCAGTTGAAAAATGGAGATATAGCGACCAGGGTGTCCATCGGTCCTTTTTCAGTTTCATGGAGCAGAACTCCTAAACCACTGAACATTTTTTTTCGGAAACCTGCTATACAGATTAGTCTTATGTGAATGCCTTTCGATGATTTCAGATATCTATATTTCTGTTTTCATGCTTAAAGCTTGATTTTACTGAAAATGAGGGTATGGTTTGTTGGTGCATAACTACAAAACTGTTAAATATTGTGGTAGTCTGGTCGACATCTAGCTTAGTTTTCTTTGGTATCCAATGGCAGTGAAGTTGGACATAAGTACCCTAGCTCCTTTTGCCAACTGCACCAGACTTGAGGGATATGTCATCTTCCGGTGACTTGTTTACATACAGAACTCTGCCATTAATGTCGGGAGAATTTCAAATTTAAGGATATGATATTCAAATCCTGTGTTAAATTGAAAAATCCTTTTTTGGCTGGTATCTGTTTTAGAAAATTATATCAATACATTTTATTATGTATGTTTGTGTTACAAACTAACCAATAAAATTTGTGAGGCATGACATTTTATTGGTGTAAAGTGGTTTGTGTTCCACTTAAAAACAGTGAAGGAAAAATGATGGTGTGTTTTCACTACAAGACATGGGTTCATTCTTGTCCAATCAGTCCATATCCTAGGAGATCCTGGTGGTCATTCTTCTAACATTGTATAACGTCAATAGTTGTGTGCTCTATCTTAACTGTTTGAGTTGTCACGTCATTCAGTGGGTAATTAACAATTATCACCTGTATTAGGGCTACAGGTGTGCATTGTTGTGTTTACCTGGCAGGTGGTGTCAGCTGGACTGTTGTTGTTGTGATTCACCTGTACAGGTAAATTTGTTTACTTTTAAGAAAACAATAGTCTTGAGTTGTTATGGATGGACTGAGCTATTCTGTT